CATTAGTGCACGATTTCTTGAGCCATGGGATCTTTTATATGGTGGCTATTAGGGTTACACCATGTAACTCCTAACTTTACCCTTCCATTATGCTCCATGGATTTTAACCTCCATGGAGTATCCATGGGTCACCCATGGGACTTAGTCCAACATAAGAAATCTTGGTCACAAGCCCACATATATAGAATGAATGATTTACACAATCAACCCATATATTTAATTCGTCTCCTTTTGATCACTAATTAATTCCAAATTAATTCTTGATCAATACTAATAAAGAACCTTATTAATATATTAGAACTTATAATATATTAACCAACCTTAAGTGTTATTTTTCTCTCATTATAGTCTATCCAAATGCATGATGCCATGCAACCCAAATGGACCATGCCGGGTCGGGTCAAGTCTTACCAATTATAGTTATGGACTTAGACATTAATCCAACAGGATAGTCCCCGATTACCGGTCGAAAGGACCGAAGGGGTATGCCAGCACCCAGATATGCTAGGCAGTATGTGACTTATGTGTTTATGTACTAGGAGGATATATGGTAGCAGTAGGGGGTGAAATAGTCCCCGTTACCGGTCGAAAGGACCGAAGGTGTAGGCCAGCACCCTGATATGCTAGGCAGTTACCGGTTGAAAGAGACCGAAGGGGTAAGCCAGCATCCTGATATGCTAGGAAGTTACCGGTTGAAAGTGACCGAAGGGGTAGGCCAACACCCTGATATACTAGGCAGTTACCGGTTGAAAGAGACCGAAGGGGTAGACTAGCACCCAGATATGCTAGGCAGTATGTTATTGTATGGTATGTGGTATGATGGGGGAAATCACTAAGCTTTGTGCTTACGGTTTATAGTTTTGGTTTCAGGTACTTCCTCTTCAAAGGGAAAGGAGTCGACATGATCGCATTGCATCATACTACATTTTCCGCACATGAGATCATTGGGAGTTATACTCTGATGTTGTTTTATCATGACATGATTTGACTATTGATACATTGGTTTTGGATATGAGTTGTTTCTATGATGTTTTCAGACAAATGGTTTTATAATGATTAAATTAAAAATGAAATTTTTGGTTTTGAATTTTAGGATGTTACACCTTTCTTGTCAAAGAAGGATTCAAGTGTAATATTTTTGAATTCGGTTCAAAGAATATTTCAAAGTTGTTAGATGTTGATCTGTAAGGATCACCTCATACATATAAAAAAAGAGATTATTTCTTCAGCTGCATCGCTTTAATTTATGAGGAACATAGTAATTAAGACACATGATATGTTATCTACGACCAACCGCCAAGAGTTTTACAAGGATGCAACAGATAATGGATTTTCTAAGATACTCATTTTCTCTAACAAATTATTTAACTAAGAAACAAGTTCCATGACACATTTGTCAACTATATTTCATTTGTTTTGGAAATAGAACTTCTTTAACGAGGGTTTTTAGCCCAACTTTTACATATTGACTAATCCCCCGGTGCACACATTAGGTTATGTCTCATGCCTTGGAGTGATAGCATGCATACCTCAATGGCCATATGGGCTGAGTAATATTAGGATTTGAAAATATAGTTTAATGACTTACTCACTACATCTTCCACACACCTTACAAAGTCAACACAACACAAGGGGTTAACTATATTGCATTTTTGCGTTTAATGTGCGACACTTCATATTGTTAGCGGCGATGGGGCCATAAACATCGAGTTTCAAAATTTATCATTGAAACTCTATTTATAACCTATATAAAATACTCTATTACATTCTACAAATTTAACACGTATTTAACTTCTATATAATGGAAGTAGATTATGTTGATAGGTTTTTCAATTCAGTTTGTTTGGTTGATGATCAAATATCGTTTACATGTTTCTATGTCGTACAAAATTTTTGAAGATTGAAAGGTTAATGAATATCTAGGGTTTAATTTTCTGTTTTATATTTTCCTTTGATATTTGAAACTTTTGAAGCTTTTATCCTTCTTATCACAATGATATAAATTTAATGTATTTATATGTGTTTCGTGAGGGATAAATAATAATCAATAAATTTTTGGTTATAAGTTTTGTTTATGTTTTTTTTTCTTTTAGTTAAGTTATAAGATTTTTTTTGTTATTCAATGTAATATTAATTAAAATATATCATTTGCATTAATATATATATAATATATATATATCTATATATATATATATATATATATATATATATATATATATTAATGCATAAGCCATGAATAAAGCCATTGAGTAATATTTTTTGAAATATTTGTTATTTTTTATATCAATTTAGTGTGAGAATTATTATTTTTAGTTCATATTAATGATATAATCATTTTTACAACATATTTACTAAATATTAAACTATATAATTTTAACTTGTGCAAGTTGCATATATTCGCTTAATGGTTTGTATGTTTTTCAAGTTCCAAACTATTTGTCAACAGTTCCAATATAATGCATATTTTCAAAACTCATTTGTAGACGTGATTAAATTATCCATTCGTAGAAAACATTAAGCCTATGATATTAAATTATTGAATGAATAATTACTTGTGTTTTCATTATTTTTTAAGGGTTATTGACATAAAAGTCCATAAATTTGTCTAAGTTTTGTTTCTGTTACCGATTTTTGTTTGTTCATGTCCTTAAGGTTTTTAAGTTTTTTCGTTTTTTCCCTTTTTATATGCAATAGCAGGTTTTCAGGTTACCAATAAATATTATTTTGCAAAAAAATTATTAAGATTACAAATATTTTGTAAAAAAACCCTTACGTTTACAAATCTTAATAATAATTTGGAATATGCTGTTAAGGATTCTCGAATTCGTATTGATGAACACAGAGTGATATCGCTTTCTATAAAGATTGAATAGAATAAAATTCTTCTTAGTAAGATTAATATTTTTCGATGAAGAGTTGCATTGGACCGTTTACCTACCAAAACAAACTTTATCTAGTCATGATATTGGCATTCCTTATTCTTTATGCCCGATTTGTAATAACTCTACGTAAGATATCCAAGATATGTTCATTGAGTGTGAAGTGGCGTCCTAAATTCTTCACAAGATAATTCGTTGGGGTGATATAGACTTATCTAATCTTATTCTTATCTGTGATTTACCTGATTTTTTTGGTTTCGTTGCATATGTCAGTTTGGAATTTCAGAAATAGATGTGTATTTGATATAAATAAACCGCGAAATGATAGAATTTTTATGACGTAGTTTCGATTGCTTTTAGTTAGGTAGTTCATAGCAAACATAAGTTCCAAGTTGTATTGGCATTCCTTATTCTTTATTCCAACTTTGTAACAACTCTACATAAGATATCTAACATGTGCTCATCGAATGTGAAGTGGCGTCTATTTGGAATGTCACTTCACACTCGATGAGCATATGCTAGATATCTTATTTAAAGTTGTTACAAATTGGGCATAAAAAATAAGGAATGTCACTCCTTTTATACAAGTTTATTTTGGTAGGCAAACGGTCCAATATATATCTCCATCGAAATATATTAACCTTAGTAGGAAGGATTTTTATTAATTCGGTCTTTATAGGAACCGATGTCAATCTGTATCTATCAATATGAATTCGAGAATCCTTAACAACATATTCCAGATAATTATTAAGATTTGTAAACTTAAGAGTTTTTTTGCAAAATATTTGTAAGCTTAAGGATTTTTTGCAAATAATATTTTATGGTAACCTGAAAACTTGTTATGGTAAGAAAAAAGAACAAAAAAGAAAAAACTTGAAAAACTTAATGACATAAACAAACAAAAAATTGTCACATGGATAAAACGGACAAAAATTGACCAAAAAAAAAAAAAACTTTTACGTAGATAACCATTTTTTTAGGATGTGAACTTCTGAGATTTGGAGAATGTTCAATACAAAATTTGGAACAAACTAGGTGGGAAAAGTTTCGAAAATACTATTTAAATAGCTAGGACTATTTTTTTGTAGTATTTGGCAACCTAAAACTTTATCAGTTGTTGATTGTACTTTTTTACTTCTCGAAATATGATAAAATGTTAATTATATTAAATATAATAATCCTTGTTTTTTAGGTAGGTACACAAAAAAAGAAAATAAAAAACTATTGAGATTGCTTTAGGTGTCTTTATCAAAATTTATAGTCAGATTTCGGGTCAAAAAAGAAATATAAATAGTGAGGAAGAAATTATCGTGTGTCAGTCTCTTGAAGTTCAACAAAACACCATCATGGGCCTCGTGACACCACTTGTCTTTTGCTCTTTCTCTCTCTAATTTCCCCTCCCAGATGCCCGCCATTTTCTCCGTAATCGCACTATAATGATTCACTGTAACCACGATTGAAGCTGTAATTTCCGCCATTAACAATGCAGGAGCTAAGATTTCAAGATCACAAAATCAGCATTACCAGTAGCCAGTCGAGATCGAGCTACGGCGGAGCTGGTGCTGGTGCCGGTGGTGGTAGTCCTGACTCCGTCATATTCTCCAATTTCAGCCTCTTTTCTTCTTCCGCTTCAGCTAGCGTTGAGCGATGTTCTTCTGCTTCAGATGTTCTTGATCGAGATTCCATCGTCTCCGAAATGTCTCTGGTAATTATCACATTAAAGATTACACTAAATATAATGTGCTATTGTAATGTACAATATTTTTAATTAGTGTGATTTGTGTTCCTTGTTGGATCAACAAATCTAGGGATGATTAAACTTCAAATTCGTCTGGTTCGAAGCGTTTAAAATGACTTTTGATTTGTGGCACAGCATTTGTCGGGACGTGGTTTCCGTGATTCCTCCTCCTCCGCAAGGGGTCCAGATCCAGATCCAAACAATAATTCTACAGTGGTTAGGAGCGGAGGTCAGCATCCAGTAAGCAAAAAAGCGGAAAAAGCAAAAGGTATAATACATTAATACAATAAACATTCTCATGCCCATGTTTCAATAATTTAAGCAAATTGAATTTTGAAGATTTTCCTTTAACGAAAGCAAATCATAGAAGCGACTTTACTTTTTTTTTTTTTTTTTTTTTCTATTCTACATGCAGCTATAATAGATTACACTGATGTCGAAACACATGGTGAGAAGCATCAAACTCTAGATTCAGCAAGAAGCTCCTTCTCTCAAGCTCTAAAAGGTATCATCATCCTAATAAAACTTTGCATCTTAACATGACTTTTAAGTTGTCATCAATAGCTACATGGTGAAATTAATCAGAAAGGTGGGTTGTCATTTTGCTCTTTTACAGATTGCCAAACACGAAAGTCAAGATCTGAAATTCTATCAAGGAAGTCTGACAGGAGAAGACCAACATCTTTAGATCTCAACAATCAAGTAATAAATGTAACCACTTCTTCTCCAAGACTTGCTATGAAAACCTCTGTTTCAAGTCGAAGAACAAGCTTATTCCCAAGTCCTGTGACCCCAAATTATCGTCCTGCAAACATGAAAGGATGGAGTTCAGAACGTGTGCCTTTACCTACCAACACTAACAGAAGACAAGTGAGTTCTGGATTAATGTCTTACAATAGTGGAAGAACACTTCCTTCCAAATGGGAAGATGCTGAAAGGTGGATATGTAGTCCAGTTGGAGGAGAAACTGCTTTAAAACAATCAATTCAACAGTCACAAAGAAGACAAAAGTCAAAGAGTGGTCCACTTGGGCCACATGGATCTTCATTCTACTCCATGTATTCCCCTGCTGTACATACATTCGATGGAGGGAATATAGGAAGTTTAAGTTTGCTCAATGGATCGCCATTTTCAAGTAGAATAAATTCAAATAACAATGTTGATCGAAATGAGAATAGTGGAAACTTCCCTTCATTGACTGAGCCATGTATGGCAAGGTCAGTCAGTGTACATGGTTGCTCTGAATCATTAAGTCAATCATTGTTACGTATAACTCAAGGTAAGCTATTGAAGCTTTTCAATCAAGAATTTAGTAATGGATTTGGGGTTTTTGGTTTTTGATTATGAGTTGTTTACAGATGGAAAAACTAGTGCTACAAACATTTCTGGTGATGTTTCAAGGAGAGATATGGCAACACAAATGAGCCCTGAGGGTAGTCCATACTCGTCTCCTAAAATGAGAAACTCTGTCTCTGTTTCCAATTCTCTTACTGTGGATGAGTTGCAGCAGATCCGAATTTCTAAAGCAGATGTGAGAGATGTACAGGTGGATGATCAGGTCAGTTTGTCAAGATGGTCAAAGAAAACTAGAACTCGGATTCCGGGCAGGCGGGCAGGGTCAGAAATGGTGGATGACTGGAAAAGAAAAGCGTTGGAGGTTCGGTCTGCAGATTGGGAAGTTTCAGAGATGACTAAAAGTCTTTCAAAGTATGTCAACTCTTCAATTCTCTTTTTGGTTTAAGAAAAATAAAAACTGAAAATACAATGCTATAATTTTGTTAGATATTCTAAAGCACAATGTGCTAATATGAAAAAAAAATAAAATTGAAAGTACAATGTGCTAAAGCACATTCTTTTACTAATTCTGTTTTCCAGGGTTAAACGGGAGGAAGCTAAAATTACTGCTTGGGAGAATCTCCAGAAGGCAAAAGCAGAAGCATCCATACGCAAACTTGAGGTCTATTTTTCACCTTTTTTATATTTTGTAGTACATGGACTGACTCTTGATCTCTCTCGTTTGGGCAAAAGACGTAAATGCCCTTTTTATCAGCATCATTGAAAATATCCCTAGAAAGTTTACTCAGTCCATTACACTCCCATCCTGTATGACAAATGCAGCTTTACGTTGCGTTCGTCATACAGAATGAGAGTTCCATGATGGAACTGGAACTGGACTGGACAGGACAGACTTTCTAGGGATATGTTTAAATTATGAAGATAAGGAGGACATTTACGTCTTTTGCATAGGCGAGAGATTGAGACCGAGTCCATTCCCCACCTTTTTGAATAGGACAAAAAATTACAATTTTTGTTCGTCACATTTGGTACTGGTCTCGGTCAAAGTCAAATGTATGCCGGACACTGACACACAGACAGTGCGACATGTTATGTCATATTATGTCATGTTATGTTTGTTATCTGATTGTGGTTGTGATTCACAGATGAAATTGGAAAAAAAGCGATCGTCTTCCATGGATAAGATTATGAACAAACTACGATCAGCTCAAAAAAAGGCACAAGAAATGAGAGGGTCGGTTTTATCTAATCAAGTTCCTCGATCTTCTTCAGCTTCTTCTTCTTCACACAAGGCCATCTCACTTATCAGGACTCCACAAATAGGTTCCTTAAGTGGCTGCTTTACTTGCCATGCATTTTAACAACCTATTTGTGGATGCCTTATAGGTAATTCCTGTTTGCTCTCTACGTATGTGCTAATTTTTTATTATCATTTATGTATCTCTAATATCTCATTCATTTCCTACAAGTGAAAGTAGAATTTTTTTTATCATTCATTTTATGAAATTGTATTTTAATGTAATGTTCTATTTCAGTTTCTTTTTTCGAAATAGAGATATGTTAAGGTATTGATTCCCTTCTACGTGAATGATAGTAACAAACCGGTTTAAGTGTTGTCTCATTGTTTGCGTAGAATTTTATTTTGTATTATAAAAAAATGGTAAATTGTATAGGTCAACCGGGGATCAACTAGCAATATTACCCTCATGTGTAACTCCATTCTTCAACCACCACCAGCCACCACCACTGCCACCCGGTTACCACCGCTACCTCCACCACCCACCTACTACCACAACCACCGCTACCGCCACCACCACCTACCTCTGCTACCGCCACCACCCATCTACTGCCACCATCACTACTACCACCCACCACCACTACCTGCCATCGCTACCACCACTGCCACCCACCTACCGCCACTGCCACCACTACCGCCAGTAACACCGCCACCGTCGCCACCATCACCACCCACCATTACTGCCACTACCACCCACCACTACCAACGCCACCTACCACTAACAGCGTCACCGCCACGGACATGAATGCTCAATTCACCGCCACCTACATGAATGCTCAATTCGCTGCCACAAACATGAATGCTCAATTTATAAAATGAAAATTTACTATTTTTATAGTTTATATAATATATCTCTATATATTTGATAGAAAACAAAGTAAAATTAAATAAGACAGACAAAAAGGGCAATTATGTTATTTTACATGGATTATGATTCAATTTCCCGACAACCAAACATAATCTAGAATTAATTTCAATTTTATTTTCTATCAACCAAACATAATCTAGAATTAATTTCAATTTTATTTTCTACTAACCAAACAGTATATCGAATTGGATTCAAATTCATAGACATTTTCAATTTCAATTCCTTTAGAAAGAACCAAACAACACCTACGAAATTAGCAATAACCGGCTGGAAGATATGAATTATGTAAACAACACATGCAAATGAATGAATTCTATACGAGATTCCTGTCACTTTTTTTATAAAATATCTTGGAAAATTAAAGAAAGAAGTAATTTTATTAGATTTACCAAAATGATAATTTTGACTAAAACATTTTTTTTTTCATTTATGTTCCGAAATATCGAGACGTGACAAAGAAATCTGAAATTTAAAATTTCAACATTACTTACTTTTTGTTTATTTCGGACATTCCTTACTTTTGGTTCATTTCCGACTTTAGTTATTCGATCAATTAATGACTACATTCATTTCGGACAACAGAACATTTTGCATTTGCAGGCTTTTTATTCAATTTGGGTTTTAGCATGTTTCAAAGCACCTTGAATACACACTTCTTTGTACAACATCAGTTCGTTTTTAGGACTCGTTTTTTGTACCAGAAAGCCATGGGAACGAATCAATGGTGTTATGCATTATATAACTTCATACTACACATGCTGTCATGTTGATTGACTTATGATGACTTATGATATCAATTTTGATGCCTTGGTTAACTTGATGACTTCCAATTTAAGCTTAGAGACAAATCAAATATATATTTGTCTCTCCAATATCTTGAAACGAGTGACATTACGTGTATAATAGATAAGAATGATGTTAAATATTTATTTAGATGTTACTATTTTTACCTTCAGAATAAAGTTACATTGGTTGTTGTCAATCATGTTGTCTAAAGTGTGATTAACCGAGCAGTTACATATCGATCTCCTACTCTGATTTGGAAACCTATCGACCTGGAAAATCAACCTTCTCCAATTGTTTAATGTGTGATTAACCGAGTAGTTACATATCGATCTCTTACTCTTATTGGAAACCTATTGACCGGGGAAAATCAACATGGCATAAGCCGGTCTAGTGGAATTGGTATGTTGCAAGAAGCAATAAAGTTTGTAATTTATTCCAAGTTACGGTGACTTCGGTACTCTAAACATAGGAAAATAAAGTGGGAAAGAGTATATTTCTCTATGGAAAGGTAAACATGTTTCATATGGCGAGCTTGTATAAAAGGGCGATGAATCAACAAATGGTTATCAAAAATTTTTGATGTAAATTATGTTGTGGTTTGATATAATCTAAAACAATTATGAAAAACAGATTTTGCAGCAGATCGGTAAATTTAAAATTCAACCCGAAAACCATGGATCCAATTAGACAAAGATTATCAACTTATAAAACCATAAGATGTTTAAAAGACTTACCCTTGAAGCGTAGATCACACCCAAAGTAAGTTACATCTATGGTGTATCCACACAACCAAATCAAGATGACAACTTCATCTTTAACTACAAGTAAAGCACCAAAGGACACGTTTAAGTTATAATTTTGACAAAATGTACGACGTTGTTGAAAATAATTAGTTATTGACATTAAATATGTAATAATATTTCATACACTTAGTTGATGGGCGTGTTCGGCACGAAACATTTGAGAGCTTCTAATTTCTAGCGTTTGACAAAACACTCATTTTTGAACAGAAAGTCTCGTTCGGCACTACAAGCTTCTAGCGTTTAGTTTAAACAAAACGCTCCAAATCCAAATGCTACTTCATGTAGCGTTTAACAAAACGCTACAAGCTACAAGCTACCGCTACACGCTACAAGTCACCCGCTACCAGCTACTTTTGCCGAACACGCCCGATATATAAAATCCAACTTTTTTGAAAAATATTGTAAAGTAAACATATATTACAACTATATTTTGCAATCTCCTCTACTGCTTTATGTATAAATAAAATTAAATATAGTTATTGATTTACTTTATATTATTATTATTATTATTATTATTATTATTATTATTATTATTATTAATTAAGTTAAAAATTACTTATTTGGTGAACGTTAGTACCTAGGGAAACCTACGTACATGAAATATCTAAAATGCATAATAATAATAATAATAATAATAATAATAATAATACAAAGTTACTTGTTTCAAAAATATTGTTAAGCATGTATTTATAGACCACTTAATATTCTTCAACTATTTGTATTTATTATAATATCCCTCTTAATTATATAATACTTTTCAAACCATTTATATTTATTATACTATTACTCTGTCTTATAATATTATCATTCTATCACTCTTATTTATATATATATTACTTTTATTTTTTTGACTAATAATCTTGAAATACTAGAAAAATATAAAAATATATTTTTAAGTCGATTAAAATGACACATCAATTATTTAAAAGAGAATAATCAAAGGATGACTTTAACATGGTTTGAACACTAGTTTTTCATAATATACTAAGGACATGTCATAAACATTGCTCATGGTAGATCTTTATCATTTCATCAAATACTTTTTTATGTTAATATTTAATTATTTATTATAATATTCACTACAAGAAAAAGGGGTATCAAAGACTGACATATTCAGTCTTTGATGGTTAATAATCAGTCTCTAATAAGAATCGATGACTGATTTCACTAGTCCTACGCTAGTCCCAGAAACCTAGTCCTAGATAGTTGTTGTTGTTGTTGTTTTTTTATTTTATTTTATTTTATTTTATTTTTTTAATATCTGGGACTGAAAATCAGTCCTTAATTTGTAAAAGTATCAAGGACAGATAATCAGTCCGTGATAATATCAAATTCAGTCTTAAATGTGTTTTCTTTAAATCCACGATTTCATATAAGATCAGTCCCTGATAATAACTTTTGGGGACTAAAAATCAGTCTTACATGCGATATCATTTAGTCTCCAATAAGCTTCATGAAAATTCTTACTCAAGTCATATCAGTCCCTGATAGAATCTATTTAAGACTGAATATCAGTCTCAAATATTATCATCTTCTGTCTCTAACCTGATTTTTATTGACTGAATATCAGTCTCATGTACACTTTCATTCAGTCCCTAACCCGATTTTTTAGTTACCGAATGTCAGTCTCAGATACATTTTCATTCAGCCCCTAACCAAATTTTTCAGTAACTGAATGTCAGTCTTAGATAATATTTCAAATAGTCCTAACCTGGATTTTTAGTCACTGAATATGAGTCTCAGATACAATGCCATTTGCTCCCTAACCTGATTTTCCAGTGACCGAATATTAGTCTCAAATATAATGTCATTCGGTCCCCAACCTGCTATAGTTTCAAACCAATGTTTAGTCTTAAACTAACATTTATAGTGACTAATATAACCAATGCGCTTGTTAATATACCAAATGTGTCACACCCCCAAACCGGAACGGCGGAAACGTTCGGGGTGGATGACGTCACGTACAGTATCATAACAAATGAATAATAGTAATCAAAGCAACACAACCATCATATTGAAAATATATAATTTACATTATGTTCAAAACATTGTTTGTTTGACATCAAAATTATAACAAAAGCTAAGACGTGACGCTACTATGCTCCGTCTTCGTGACACCTATGAGGGTACCTGTCTACTAATTTCCTGAGAGTACAAGTGGTTTGAAAAAGTGTCAACATTTAAGTTGGTGAGTTCATAAGCATTTTGTATATAAAAGTATGTTCTTTGTTCCTTGAAAATGTAAGCGTGTTCATCCAGAAAATCCTATATTTTCTGTTGTAAATGTATTGTAGTCTTAATACCTTAAGACCAAAACATATAAGTTTCTTATGCTTATATCTGTAATTCGAAGTCCTAATTCATGTAAGTGATGTAACCTATACCGCTTCCTCCAATGATCACTTAGAGTATATAATTATTAAACTTTTAATATTATAATAGTATAAGGGTTGAATTTTAAACTTTTAAAATTCTAAGGTTTGGAATTAAATGTTTCATTAGTGAGACTTTACAAATTCCAAAACTTGAGGGCAAGTTTTGTAACTTTCAAAACTTTTGGTTTCCCATAACTTATGAAAACTTATGAGTTTTAATGTTCATAAATGAGACTCTTCACATAACTTGAGGAAAAGTTACAAAAACTCATTTTAAGAACAATTTTT